TCCAGTTGCCAAGTTTGAAAAACACTGATCTAGACATTCATCCGGATAGGGCGGATATCCAAAATGGCAACTTCAACAGATACTTTTAGTTCATTCAGTCTTTTGCTGTGATGTTCAGTTGGGACCGAGATAATTTCATAGTCCATCTCTCCATCTTGTAGGAAGTTGTCCAAGAAGGTGTGTATAATTGGAGGGCCACCAATGTAATTTTTGGTGTCCACCTACTGGAAGGTAAACATACATTTGATGCTACTTTTTATGATACCTTAGGAGTTAGTCCATCATTAAATTCCCTCATTTCTGAATTGATCTCTGAGAACTTTAGCATTCATCTTTCCCACTGCCTGCTCCATGGCTTGAAGCTCTTCTGTGTCTCATTTCTCTAGATTTGCTCTATTAAAGATAGGGGGACACCAGAGTAGAAACCAGTCACACAGAATTATCCTTCCAGTATGGAACCAGCTTCCCTATCTTTCGGTACAAATCACCCAAGGTGTGTCTCGTGATCGGAAAAAGAGTTTCAAATGAGCTTCTCTGAAGATACATCATTCTACTGCATTTGAAAAGCAACTCACTTGGTCCACTCCAGTTCTGCAAGGAGATCCAGCAGAACAGCCTGCCTCCCCCAAGTTTATAGTAAAAAGTTGTGCCAAGTTGCTTTTGGGGTGCTTTGACATGACAGAAACATTGAAATTAGGCGATTCCTTTGTATTGACAGACACAAACATGTCCCACCCAAACCATCAAATGTAGGACAATCAGTAGATGAAATCATACAGAGGAATCCTACGCACCTTTTTCTGTGATTCAGCCCTGTTGGATCAAAAGAGGCTTTATAATTTTTGCAAACTACATTCCTTGCAGGATGACATTTGGGAATGGCCACTGTCTGTTTTTCGTCTTTCGTAGTCTTCTTCCCGAGAAAGGATTTTCAGATGATTGCATTCTCCAGCACATAATGCCATCCTCAAACGGCTTCTGAGACATGTCAGGTTAAATTACTTTCCCTTGTGAGCAAATCCCTCTGATCCTGTCATTTACAATAAGGACGCTTCTCATGAAGCCATTTAAAAGCTACGGATTGGCACGGTCTTGGCAATCCTCACCACCCAGGGGCCCTATGAGATCTCCTTTCAGGTCTGTGACATTTCACATTTAATCCTTCACATTAAGATGACCCCTCCATTTGGAAAAAAATGGTCCTCCCTTGTGGGTTGTCACGTGCCTTGAAATCTCAGGACGTTTGGCTTCAATCTTGCTTAGGAGTAACAGTTGGAGCTCCTTTTGGAAAAAGTCAAAAGCAGAAATCCAGAGGGCTTACAAAAACAAAAGTCTCTTTATTAATACAACACGGAGGACATTTAGCAGGCAGCTGTAGTTTGATCGGAGACTCGGCTTTTACAAAGCGTTAAGCCGTTGACTATTGCAGGGAAAAGTGAGTGCCATAATTCCAGCAAAAGACACAGAAGTCCTTTCTCCAAATCTGCTTATAATCTAAGAATCAAAATGTATGTTTCAGAGGGAGGTTTCAACAGGAGGGTCTGCAGGGGAAAGTCAAAAAATCAAGGTGGCGTCCACCATCACATGATCAAAGCCCTGCCCCCTTTTTATGTGGGTCACGACACCTCTGTGAACCCTGCTAGTTTCCACTAGAATTTACTCAGGAAATAAAGTCTTTATTCTATAGTACAAAGATAGGTTACTGCCTTGCAACATGCTCTTATTCATCAAGGAAAACAAACGCGTTGGAAGTTCAGAATTTAAGTGTGCCCATTTTACCTTGGTGGGTCATAGCAGCTTCCAAGAGGTTGGGAAATCTGTAGTCGCTCTCACTGGTCTCATAGAGAGACTGTAAGCCACTGAAAGTTTGGGTCCATATGTGTAGGGAGCCAGGAGATGATCTTGGAGGAGGAATCCAGCAGCTGTAGGATAACATCAGGTGCACAAGTAACGTTAAGTCCAGAGTGGTGGGAAAATGTTACAAATAGATTATTCCCCCCACATCCTCACTCCCTGGGGTAGACTGATTGATTGATTGATTGATTATGTACCATCAGGTCACTGTCAACTCTTAGCAACCACACAGATAGATTTTCTCCATGATGATCTTAGCTTTTCTCTATGATGATCTTCTTAACCTGGTCCTTTAGGTCTTCCAATGGTGCCCCCATCACTACAGTAACTGAGTCTATCCTCCTTGCTGCTGGTCACCCTCCTCTTCTTTTCCCTTCCACCTTTCCCAGCATCAGAGCCTTCTCCAGAGAGCTGGATCTTTGCATAACATGTCCAAAGTAGGATAATTTGAGCCTGGTTGTTTGTGACTCTAGTAAGTACTCTGGGTTGATTTGTTCAATGATCCATCAGTTTGTTTTCTTGGCTGTCCATGGTATTCTCAGAAGTCTTCTCCAACGCTGAAGTTCAAAGGTGTCAATATTCTTCCTATCCTGCTTTTAAAGGATAGGATTTCTTCTTTTAAAGAAAGTCCAACTTTTGCTTCCATAGAGGGTTACCAGAAAGACGATTCTGATCTTTGTAGGTACGGACACATCATGGCATTTGAATATCTTTTTCAAGGCCTTCATGGCTGCTAGCACCAAATGCTAATCTGTGGCATATTTCTTGGAGTAGAAGTGGGAGGGAAGGGAAGACCCCTCAGATGTGCAAGATTCAGTTGTTATAGCCTATTTCAATAAAGTAGAGTTCTAGTCTTCCTGTAGAATCGGTTTTCTGGTCTGGTATACCTCATAGGGCTGACAATATGGCCCCTTGTAAATCAGTGAGTGCTTACCAAGATGAAACTCCAGCTGAACACTTAGTCTCATGTAAATGTGTCGAGAACGACAGAGGTGTTTGTATGGAGGTGTAAATCCAAAACTTTGCTGGAAACATGGACTTCAATGAAAAAGTGTTGTCATCCGAAGACAGCCACCACCCATTTAATTCCTATGGCCCCTACAAAACCTTAGGAAGGAACTGTGATTCTATAAAACTGTCATGGGATCTCTAAAAGCTAAGCTATCATATTTTTTGTAGGGCGACCAAGTCAGGTTTCCAGTCCTGGTGACCCCATGGACAAATTCTCACCGTCTTAGTCTGTCTCCTTGGAGGTCTTCCAAGGATTTGAAACTGTCCTTTGAAACTGTCCATCCACCTTATCCGATGTCTTCCCCTTCTTCTGCTTCCCTCAAGCTTGCCAAGCACAGTCATTTTTTGCTGCTAACATCCCGAACCCAAAGTATGTGAGTTTCTGTTTGCTGATGATCACTTCAGGCAAACAGTCAACCTTCACTTCAGAGATCTTTCTTGCAGTCTATGGTCCACTTAGTAACCAACTCCAGTTTTTAACATTTACTTTTACTTGTGAGATTGAGAACCCATAAAAATACTCCATCGGCTCATTTTTCTCAAGTATAACCCTGTGAGGACAGAATAATCCAAAGGACCCAAAAGGGACATGTTGTGGCTGAGGGAGGATTAGAATCTGGATCTTCCCATTCCTGGTCCAGCACCTTCACCACTGGACCATCCTGGCTCTTAGGCTGAGAGGGAGGGACTGGCCCAAACTCAGCCAAAGAGCTTCTGTGGCTGAGGGAGGACTAGAACCCGGGTCTCCCTGCTCCTAATCCGGCCCCTTCCCCAGTGCATCTGATTGGCTCTTGGGCTGAGAGGGAGGGACTGGCCCACTACACCAGGGTTCCTCAACCTTGGCAATGTTAAGATGGGTGGACTTCACCCCCCAGAATCCCCCAGCCAGCTGGCTGG